GCATTTGTCAGGGCACGTAAAAACATGTAGAGAACAGCAGTTGGCCTAACCTCTTCTTGAGTTTTCTGATATTTTTACAAGCTATATGCCTAAATTGATAAATTGTTAACCAAGGCACTTTGCAATTAGGTATGATGTGAAAAACTATGTCATAATCTATTTCTCTTTCCCCTGAATTTCCAGTGACTTTTTTTTTTATAACAAAAGAACAAATCATTTCAAGAGAAGAAAGGTTCTGAACAATGCGCCAGAAAAAATATCAGAAAACTCAAGAAGAGGTTAGGCCAACTGCTGTTCTCTACATGTTTTTACGTGACCTGACAAATGCGCGCCTGACAACAGCGCGCCGACAAAACCGCAGCGATAAAACCGTGACGTCGACAGCGCGCCCACAAAGGCGCGCCGACAAGAGCACCGACGGAAGTGCGATTAGGGTTAGGGTTAGGTTTAGGGTTCTTATGTTGTTTTCGCGTTGTTTGTTGATGGCGTGCTTCTGTTGGGGCTCTTTTGTTGGCACGCCTTTGTGGGCGCGCTGTCGATGTCGCAGTTTTAACGTCGCGCTTTTGTCAGTGCGCTTTTGTCGTGCGCGCATTTGTCAGTGAACCATGTTTTTAGACTGTAGGTGTCACCAGGGTTTGCTATTAGGGGGATAATTTCTGATAGGGAAGCTGCACTCTAACAACATAATGGAGGGCACCAGGTTGTGCATTAACCTTAAACCGATGTTTAATTTTTATCATTTCATTTTTATAAAATCACTCAAAAGGCACATTCACAACATTGTAATATTAATAATAAAGCTAGTATATAATTCAAGCACCTACCACATAATACTCCATTACTCCTTGTGGCTTGATTTCAAAGTTCTGATGGTGCCCCTTCCCCAGTTTATATATCTTATATAAATCCATTTTACATAATTTATGTAACTCCCCGCCATTGCATTTTGAGCGCTTGGTAACCAGCCCATAATTATGACTATTATGGCCAGTCCGCCGCCATTTAACCACAATTTTTGAAGACTTTTGCTGGCAACTGGTGTTTACTTCCATTTCTGGCAAACTAAACACCCCATTGAGTGAAATGGGTTCGCTTAATGACCAGAGCAAAAAAGTTGTAAAATTGGGCATGGTCACTTATCATTTGGCACAACTTACAACTGTAATTCTAGGCTGACGTATGGTTGTAGGTGCAGGACTATCTGTATTAAATAATAAGAAAAAATGCATATAGAATGTATTATGTATTTCTGTATATAACAAATGGTTGTCTTGACTATTCAAAAGGAATTCATTTGATGTTCTTCATTTCTTGCAGATGTACTTGTATATTTTGAATTGTTGTTTCGCTTCATGACCCACGTGCTAGGGCAGTGTTTCTCAACCTTGGCCCACCTGAAGATGCATGGACTTCAACTTCCAGAATCCCCCAGCCAGCACAATTCAAGTTGAGAGCAGAGCTGGCTGGAGAATTCTGGGAATTGAAGTCCACGCATCTTCAGGTGGGCCAAGGTTGAGAAGCACTGTGCTAAGGGGGATGGGTAGATGGCTAGATATTCTCTCATAGAGTTCTATAATGCAAAACAGCATTCTTACATGTTTAAGTGATGGCAAGTCATCCAGATCCTCAGGCAATAAACATCTCCAAACCATGACACTTCCACATCCATATGAGTGAGTATGAGGCTCTTTTTTTTAGCAGATTTTTATTTTTATTTTTTCCCTTCTACAACACCTTACAGTCATTACATCAACATTGTTATGTCATCATATCTGTACATGTATATAATATTTCGCTTCTATATTTACATACCTTTATACACAGTTTTACATATATTTATATATAGTTTTTTGACTTAATTAATTAAGAGCTTCTTAATTGTCTATCTGGCCATTGCTACTGTTGAGTAATTAAAAATGTCTATTT